CTACTAGGAGCTGCGCCAGAGAACAGAAGTTACACCAAAATGAAACTAGAAGCTTCTCACAGATTTAAAGTTTATGCGCTTATTCTATCTCTATATTCTTGTTACTGAGTCGACTGATAAGCAAATTTACAGTATATTCACATATTCTATCATCAGATAGTCATGTTGCAGTGCCGATTAAGGAGAAGCAGTAATCCTAGTATCGAAATAGAACAGGGATGCGTATGGGTGAACATAAGCCCAATTTCGCCCATGTTCCTGTGACCCACAAATTTCAGTTTCTTGTTCTTAAAAGAAAGGACTAACTAATCTTTATAAAGTTGGTGATTCCAAAATCATATCTTCGTCAACTGGCCAAAAGATATTCTGAAAACCCCCAATTGTTAATTATGCCTCACATGGATTATTTGTTACTTCAATGTGCTAAATTAAATTATTCTTAATTGTCCATTTTTATGATATTTTTGATAAAACACATACACTTAATTCAGTAATTTGGAAGCCACATACAAAAATAAATAATAATAATAAATAAATAAATAAAATGAAATAAAATGAAATAAAATAAAAAGTCCAAAGCCTAGCACTTTCTTGTTTTTGTTATATTGTGGTTTAACCAATGCAAACATATTGTATTAAAGCTGCATTAAATCTAAAACAAATCCTCCCCCAACATCTTGAGGTCTGACCTCGACATTGATCCTGAAGACAACGATCGAACCCAGTTAATATTTTGATTTGACTGGGACAACATATCCTGATTTTGGGAACTATGAGAAGACATCAATTTACTTCAAACAGTACGGAGACCAAACATGAAGTAAGTCAATTCTACAATTACTTATATATCTGAACAGATATGAGTTATTTCACATGGGATTATGTTTGTGCATAGGTGCTAATTAGTTTTGGTTCTTTCCATTATCAACTATTTTGCACTCTATGTCACACCTAGAGTAATTCCTTTGTTTTACATTAATCATGATCCCAGACCATCCAGTTAACAAACTGGGATCTTCCCTTTCAGATAATAACAGTTGTTGCTGTTGACATTAAGAGTTGGCAAGACCAATTATTTTTTTGGTAATCTATTTAAATAGTTGTTGACCAAACAGCTTCCCTGAAATTTAATCCATGGTTTCAGTCTAGAGAACCAAGCACCCAAATTTATATTCTCAGGCCAGCAGTTCTTTAGAAAAACAAACAGATCAATTTTAAAAAAATACATGCTAATAAATTGTGTGGCGATGAATATTTGAGCAAAAGTAGGATTTTGTTGTTTGATCAAGACATCTTTTAGATCCCATATAGTTTTAATTTCCAATATTTAAAAATGCAGATCAACAAGTGGATGCCATTTAAAATACCGAATGGATAGTATCTGGACCCTGGAACTACATAAAGTTGCAGATTCCTTCTATTAAGGACTAATCAATTTAGACTGTTGCTACCTAATGAAGCATTTCTAGAATCCCAAATGATTTAATGTATTTGACATTGTTTATCTGCAATTTTCTGTTTGGAACTATGTAAGTCATTTGGTACCCTCATATTTCAATGGACTCTGATTTATGTTATTCATGTACCATTATCATGTACCTGCCTAGGTCTAACCATATTTAAGTCCACAAATTTGAGCATATGAAGAGTCTCTACTGGGAATTTTCTGAGTTCCTTACATTTGCGAGTACCTATAAAATTTTAATATCAGCAGATGTCTGTTCCTAGGCATTTTTGTTGTTTAGGGAAATTTCACTTATACAACACGTCTCCAAATATCAATTTTCCCATTTTTGTTTATAACCTACCAATAAGCTAACCGTTTGGACTCCATGTTTGTCAATTTGTCCATACAAGTGGTTAATTCATTAGTCGATACACTTCCCTTGCCGCCTCACAGAAGGACTTGTAATTATTGCCAGTGGCTGTCGAGTCGACTAAACAAAGGCGGTAGCAAATGTCTGGAACATGAAAATGCCAAATGCTGTAGCAGCTGGCTGGTAAAATGAAAATGCCAGATGCTGTAGCAGCTGGCTGGTAAAATGAAACTAAACATTAGGTGCTGCATGAAGCTTTTAGAGAATTAAACTATCTTGATGCATGCCATCAGGCTGCGATGTGGTGATCACAACATCAATTGAGAAAAACTGAAGATTGGAATTCTTGTGATGTTGGGCATGATGGTTGGGAAAAACATAGCACTACTCATAAGTTTTTTTTATTGGCGAGATAGGTACATTTGTTTGTATTGTGGGTTTTGTCTTGTTCTCTAATTTATGATGTTTCCTTTCTAGTAGACATTAAATTACACTCGGTCAGGAATCTTGCTGCGAATAAAAACTTCTTCTGGACCATCAATTAAGTTCTTGGACGTTTTCTATGCCGGCTGACTCTTCAACTTTTTTTTTTAATTTCATTCTTATCAAGTGTTCTTCTACCAAATGTATTGAATAATAATCTATGAATATTTTACTTTCAAGAAGTAAGATTATTGTTTCTTGATAGAATAGTATTCTTGTTAACTTCATTGTTGAAAATGTTATGAGATGATACAGTAAATGGACACAACAAGCCCCAAGGACTCTGTGAGAAATCAATTTACTCCTCTAAGACCGGCACCATCGGACACAAATGAGGTACTTTATAATTATGTTCTCCTTTTTCCAAATTCTCTTCGTCTGGCAATTGCGGCTTCATTTTTTTTTCCCTTCTCTAATTATTATTTTTAAGATAACTAGATTTTTAAAGTCTCCTATGACATAATGGTTTTTAATTCTATGCATGATGTGGATAGATAAGAACTGAAGTCACAACCACTAGGGTTAGAGTGGTCTGAGTATTCCTTGAAGAGTGAGCTAACGACTGCAGCCTGTTATTTTAGTTGAAACAGCAAAAGATTTGATGAAATTAGCATTAGATTTTGATGGCCTCACTCTGAATTTCATATTCATGAACAGGTGCAAGACTCAAATATAAGAGGGGTTGTTGGTTTTTATATAACATCTCAAATACGACTGATCGACTCACGTGTGTGGGATGTACATACATATACAGGTACCGAGTCTTATCTTATTTTTATCCAATATTACCGTTGGCTTCAGTTTAATTATTCAGAGCCTTAGATAACGTGCAAACAGTTCCAACTATTCAAACATTAAAACCTTGTAGCTTACCATTTTTTATTAAATAAAACTTAAAGGGTAATTGGACATACGTTTAACTGTAAGTACTTCTCACTTAATGATGGCAGTACTTGTTGTTATATTCTCTTGACAAGTAGTTACTTTTGATTTTCTTGGAAGAGAGGCAGTAGAAGCTAGATTCCAAAGTTTTCATGGAATACATCAGCTAGCAAATTTATTTTCAACTCAATAATTATATCGCACTGTCTTTAGATTGATGACATATTAGATCCAAACGGAGTGATTACACACCAGCTTTTTTTAAAATTTTTTCTTATAGGAGGACCGACAAGAAACATCTATTGAGGAAGTAACCCCTCCAAAAAGATTGTCAAAATAAATATAAATTCTAGCTTCTGTGAAGGCATTAGGGATCAAGCTTTCCTCCTACTCTGGGTTTCCATAACCACACATAACTTGTTGCCGACACCATATGATGCAACTCCTTGGGGAAAAAAAAGGAGAAAGCAAGTGAAAAACATATCAGCTTTTCCCTTCATCTAGTCTTCTTGCATTGACTCTTTGTAGCAAGTGATGGCATTCTTTTGGGGTTTTGTTTCTGATAATCAATGTTCCTTCAGAAATGACCGTTTTGTCCGGACAAAAATAATTAACTATACCTCTGTTTATGTATAAGATATGAGGACAGATTTTTTAGATTGTAGAAGGGGAAAAAGTGTGTCAGCATGCAGCAGATTGTTTCTAATGAAGTTTTGTTGGAAAAGTTGGTACCTTGGTGGTGAAGATTTCAGGTGTTGCTGCACCAACTTCAGCGCTAACCCTATTTTACAGTGTCAAAATTGAGATCATGTCGCTTTCACCATCACTGTTACTTTTGATTACACCCATGATTGCCTTGCCTTTGGTTAAATATCTCATTTATTTAATTGCATGGTTTTTTTCATCCTTCTCCGTGATTTGAGAAACTACTTAATTAGACATGGGATTTCCTAAAAGATTCGGCACAATTCAAAAGAAATGGTTGTGAAAGCAAGGTAATTAAAGACGTACCAAAAAAGGGGTAGTGGTTAATAATAAAACATGTTCCACACATAAATCATAATTTTCCTGATAGGGGCCGGCCAGGGTTTTTTAAGTAGTGAATAATTCACGGGGAATATAACATTTACGGGGAAACCCATTGTGCTGAAGGAGAAGGTTAATGAAAAATCTTGTACTAATTTTCTATAATATTTTGAAATATATAGGGCTTGTCAAGGACAATGTTACCCTGTGATAAAATATAACACAGCGGGGTACTAAAGACCAGCTTCGAATGCTCGAGATCTCTAAGAACACGACCCGGCGTAAAGTCTTCTCTTTTCTTTGTAGATATGGAGTTGGCTTCCTACTATTTCTTTCTTTCTTTATTTGTTTGTTTAAAAGAAACATATATATACACTGCTCCCTTTTCCCAGCTACCTCTATGAAATCATGTATGCTCCTTTAATTACTTCAACTACCCTCATCACTGTGACATTGTCAGAACAGTTGTGATGTGTGCCCTTGCTTCCTTCCAGGCTTCTGGTGTCTCCTTCTCAAAATCCTCCACATCTCAACTTTCTTTTTTTTTTTAACTCAAACCTCTGAATTGATCTTCAAGGTGAAGTAAATTTACTAAGGTTTCAATAGGGAAAATTTGTAATCTACGTACAACTGCTCAATTGCATAATCGTGCTCAATTGCAGCAGTTTATACGAAAATTAGGACTGACGACTATCTAATACGAGTATCAATACGGTTTATAATAGTGATTTCTGTGTTATTACGTTGTGGTCGTGGGTTCAAGTGTGATTAGAGGTTTGGTACTAAAATGCACAAGTGTCTTCACTAGTAGTTTTGCATATTTCTCCTGTTTGTGTGGTTGGTAGTAGTGTGTATGAAACAAATTCAGAATTAAAATCATCGGTTACTGTTATTTAGCCATCTGGGCTGTGGTTTCCACATCAAGTGATGTCCTCAGAATCAGTTAAAACCTTGGTGCATGATTGAGTAATTTATATGGCAGTTCACATGATTAAGCTCTAGATTAAGTATTTATTGATCAGCGTTGAGAAATCCAAAGAGGACCCCTGGGGAACTAGTATCCGAAAAATAATTCGTGCAATTGGAGCCTGGAGCCTATAAGGAAGAGGTTTGGTTGGAGTGGGAAAACTGTGACGTCCACGTGGAACAGAGACCGCTGCCGGTCAATGATCTGCTCTCGTTGTCCCAGCACGAAAAAAACTGTACATGTCATATGAATAGCCGCCACCTGGCCGATTTTCCACGTGGGTCCCATTTTCATGTGGCAGATAAATTGTCCGTCAAAATGTGTATTAATACGTGCAAAAATAAATAGTAGATGTATGTTGTATCAATAATTAAATGGTGCGTTTAAAAGTTCAACTGATATCAGCAGAGTCATGTCAATCAGGCTAGCTAGTTGGATTCGTTATTGTTTTTTTGGACAAAATCTTACAGGTTCTACCTCCTGCTAGAAAGTAGTATATATTAGCGCAAGTACACAGCTACGCCAGTTTTTTTTTAAAGGAAAGCTAATTAGTGACAATTTAGAGTATTGGGTTACAGGAATATGATGCATAACTTACTAAAAGTAATATTGCTTTCTGTATTAAGCAACAAAGGTTTGATTGTTTCGTAGGGATAACTGTGAATTAATTGTTTGATGTCCAATTTTAAATTAAAGTTTGTGGTTAATGTATACATCATTTGGCAAATTTGTCAATGCAGTAAGTGGCTATAAACTGACAGCAGTTCTACTGTTCAATGAATTGTGCGGATGAGGCACTCTCCTCATGTGGCTATATATCATGCATAGTTCGTATGGGAAAATTTGGTATTTAAAATCAGGAATTTAGTAATAAATATGACATATGTGACGACAACAACAACAACAAAGCTTTTATCCCAAAAAAAAATTTTGGGAGCCTGTACATAAATGCTATTCTTCCTTGGGATGTATATTGTGTAGATCCGGTTATGTTGTCAACTACGTAACACAATCTTATAGGTTTTGTTTTTGTTTAGAACGAGGAGCTAATGGTAGCTCGCAAATAAATCTTATAGGTTTTAACTACTAGAAGATTCATATATTTTCATACGCATGCAGTCATTCCTATATAATATCATTAAATTAAAACAAAGTGGTAAGATTAATCCTCGAGTTATAGCTAGGGATTGGCTTTCCGTCGGAATATACGACTCGCTTTCTGCATAAGGAAGGAAAGATTTTAATTACGTATATATAGGATGTGTGTGTTTTAAATTTGATGCCATACTTTTATTAGTTCTCTCTTCGGAAACTCATTGTTCATAGCGATCAATATTGGCAAGCATTCCCGTTATCAAATTTTTTTCATTTTTCAATGATTTAAGAGGCTACAAGGCCGGCCAAGCTGTTTTTCTTTCAGAAATGGGTCCAATTTAGTGCATTTTTTAGGGATTCGGATCCTCTCCACTACAAAAAAAAATAGTGGAGGGACCACTACATAATCACAGCCATTGATTATCTAGTTGATGGTTATGATTTTTTTCTTTTAGTGCAAATTAGGAATGAGTGCAATACACGGGGGTATGGTAAGTGTTAGATTTAGATTGTATCATAACCGCCTACTAAATAATCAACGCTTGAGATTAAAAGTAGTGGTCTCCCCACTACTTTTTTGTAGTGGAGAGGATCCAAATCCATTTTTTAGGGTCAAATTAAATATCATTGTCTGTTCAAAATGCGCCGAATATCTCTTTATTGAAAAAGAAAGCCACTTAATAATTTGCATATAATATTTAGAGCTTGGTATTCTCTATCCAGATATTATACGTTAATATTATTCATCAAGGTTAATATATTTTGATCTCAATTCCTTGCATTTAGTAACTACTGATCAAGATGAAGAATTTTTTTGTCCCATTTTCCTCTTTTATTTATGTAAGCGCAATTTGTTTTTTGTCCCCCACCGTGGCCTCTTCTTGCTTCAAACCCCTCTAGTAATATCGTATAAAATAAAAGAAAGTTTTAACAAAATGGATAGGGAAATAAAAAAACTAGAACTCATTATTACTTACTTATAAATTAATGTTTTATTTATCATGTGGACATCAATATGAAGGGCAAGAACGCCATCAATATCTTACTTTTATGAAAAAGCTTAATAATTAGATGCCTCCATCCCCCTTCCTTTTTTATATTCCTTAGATTAGATCTTGATCAAAGGGTCTGTTCATTTCCCATCTGCTTATACTGTACTCTTAGGACTTTCACATAAACTCCACCATTAATTTAGGGTTTCAAAAGGGAAGGGAAGCAAAAAATTAAAAAAGAGCAGCGTGTTGACGTAAGCCCTTTTTGTGCCCCATGCAAAAATTAAACCTAACGTGAAAACGTCAAAGCGCTTGCTTTTGTCGTATTATAAAAGGTGACCAGGGCTCCCTTTGGTTGCAACTTTAACCTACGCACATTGCGTGCATGGGGGGGTTTTAATGATCTCACCCCTTTCGTTAGTCTTCACTGTATTAAGATTTAAGATGCACGTGGACTTAATTAGTGTCTTATTATGACTTCCTTTTTTACTATTCATGGGATGGTGATGTACAAGTGTCATCAATCACATGGCCATGCCTTTTAATTAAATGACCACCGTGTCCCACCACGTTCTATAATTAAGCTTAATTACTCTTTGAACTTATTTGAGTTGCAACTTAATTAATTTGTGGTATTTTACATTAAGGGGCTGTTTGGTTGTTATTGGTAAAGTTGTGTATTTATGACACAACTTGGAAAGTTGTTGTCCACCTCATCAATTTTACTTATATACTTTTTTTTGTTTGTTTTTTATTCAATTGGAATCATAAATTACTTGTTTGGTTTGTAAATATAGCTTTAATTGTTTGTTTGGAAAGTGTAAAAAGTGGTCCCTACACAAATGATCATATTGGTTGGAATTATTTTTTATTATTTTTTTCTGATTTCAATGTCAGCTTTCTCCTAAAATCATGTCTTTTTTTTTATGAAATCACTTTACAAGCCACATCAGCATATGAAATCACTTTACACTATTTTCATAACTACAAACAAACAATTGAAAGTGATGAAAGCTGACATTGGGACCCACTTTTTTACACTTTCCATCCTTTTACATGGTAAAAACATACAACAAAACAGCCCCAAATTCAATGCGAATAAACATATATATGCATGTAGGCCCATAGTCCAATACTTAGAGACCATGGACCCTATTAATTGATCTATATTGATGGTTAATTAATTAGGTCAAGGTCTAATGCTAGACCTAACCCAACCTGTTCTCTGAGCCCACCTTAATGGACTGGAACTATAGTCGCAGTTGGTTTAATATTGTGCTTCGTACATTGGATGCAAGGGAGAATCAAGGCGCAAAATGATATCTACTCCTAAATGGGAAGAGAGACCAAAAAAAAAAAAAAAACTTACGCTGCAAAACATTGATTAATTACGGTTATCTCATAAATATATTATTACCCGTATACATAAAAGAGTTACCTTATCGAAACCAAGATTTATGTAAATCTATTAACTGTAAACAACAACAAGTTATATGGCTACCAATACCATGGAGATCGAATACGTGGTGACTGTAGCAAATCACTCAGATGATGGAAGAATCAACAGCTAATTAGAGGAATTTTCTATTTATGTTAATAATATCCAGAGCAGGGTATTTTCTATTTTATTTTGCTTAGGTATGCTTAGGGACATGTGAGCATATCTATGATTATAATATGAAATATGATTTGTGTCTTCACCTGCCTGCATTAAGATAAGAGTATTGAATTAGGAAAATTAGACTGCACTGTGCATAGAAAATACCGAAAT